ACGCTCCCGTACCATCTTAATAATTAGACACAAAGCTGTGGCTTTTTGTTTTTGAAACGGCGATTTAACACAAATCTATTTGCCTCGAATGCGTTCAGTTCACGAGTGCGATGTTTTGCATAGATCCATGTGGATCGTCGCCGGAGCTACGGTGTTCTTGTGTTGTGCGACGTTATTGGCAGGTGATTAGCTATGTTGTGGAGAGAGATCGAGCCATATGGAATAAACCACGTTGAAGTATAACCTCTCACTTTAACCTTAACTTTTAACAGATGTATTTGTTTCGTTTGTAGAGAGAATAGGCTTTGTTGAAGTCTTCTGTTCGGTATACTACATTAGAGCGTAGCCTCTCTACCAACCCGTCCAAAGATCGTCAGATTCTTACCGAGGCGGTCCACCCTCACCCCCCCCCCCCCCACCCCCTTTCATAATTCACCTTGGCTGCTAGATCGACCCAGCCTAAAATGTGTAAAGGTCCTTGGAAGTAAAGACGACTGGTCTGATTTTGACCACGTTACTAACTAGTGCCAGTTTGTGTTAAAAAGTATGGCCCTATATACTCTATGCGCCAGTGGCGTGAAAGGGGTCCATTTTTAAACGTCTTTACCAACTCATGCATTATCATCATCATGTTTCGTACCGTTAAGCTTAGGCTGTCATGTTTTGCAGTCTCACACGATCACCAGAATCACAGATGAGTTCGGTGTTTTTGTCTCGCTCCACTCATTTGACCAGGCTATCCAGGTATTTATCTCTTTGCCTTCCTCTTGCTCTCTTTCCATCAGTCTTGCCAGTTGTTACCAAGTTACCAAAAATATATTTCTTCTCAAAACATGCCGAGAAAATATTGACTCTACGTCTAACTGTTCTCATAAGTTTGCGACTTTCATCTCTCTTGCTGGGGACTGCTTCGTTTGTTTTTCTTTCCTACCATTTCTTCTTCTTCGCGTTCAGCTGCTGTAAACTCCAGCGGAAAGTTCTGATTGTTCACCCTCTGGATTGCAGTCCTGTTCCAGAACCTGAGTGTTGGGTGTGCATCCGTTTGATAGATCTGATTTGTATGTAGACTGTTGGTTCCTTTCCTCTCAGGAAGATGCATTCCGACTTCAAGGAAGCTCACAATTAGTCGACTTTTACGACATGCTTTTGGGTAGGCAGTGGGTCTATTCTTGTTTTCCTTTTAATAGGGCCCCGAAACCCACACGGGGCTTCCATGATATAGTTCTGATACTGTTATCAGTTGTCTTTGTATGCTTCGTATCCACAGCCTCGTCTATCACCTCTTGATTTACTTGAACTCCCCCCCCCCCTCTTCTCTCTCTCGCTCTCTCTCTCTCTCTCTCTCACTCTCTCACACACACACACACTCTCTCTCTCTCTCTCTCTTTCTCTTTCTTTCTCTATGTGGGGGCCGCTAGACACTGAAGGTCTTGATTTCGAACCGCATCGAGTCGGATATTTTCCCTTTCAGAATTGATCTCTCAACCATGACGGACTAGTTATTGCAGTGGACCATTGTTCAACCCAGCCAACAATTGGTAAATAAAAAGTAAAGGCGGCTTGCGTGATGTTGACCGCATCAGCCACTGAGAGCGACTGGTCTATTTTAAACACAAGCTGAGCATCACATGCCGAATGCTTCATTGGCTTAAAAAACGTCGTTTACTTTGTACTAGCATGAAATTCACTGTCTGTTGTAATTCAATCAGTGACCCGTAAAGTTTAGCTTGCACCGATGTTTTTCTTTGCCAAAAGTTTTTGCCTTGAAATGGTTATATTTGAGACAGTCTTGGAGAAACATCATTTAATTCGCCCATTATGGATTCTAGGCTGCGTTTTGAAAAGTGTGGGGGGGGGGGGGAAAGGGGGGGGGGGGCTTGTGGACTTTCTCTAACAAGCATGTCGTAAGTCGATTAAATAGGTTTTTTCTAAAAGTCTAAACGGTACAGAAAGCATAGCCTAACTGAACCACAACGCTCTTTTAACGTATAAAGCAGAAGTGAATGTCAAAGCCGTTTTGTTTCTGCACAGTATTACTGATTTGACGTTAGAATGAAATATTCAGTTTGTATTTTTATATAAACATTTCACTACTCGTTTGTTCCAGTTTGTATTTTTATATAAACATTTCACTACTCGTTTGTTCCGTTAGATTTTTAAGTTGAAACAAAAATATTGTAATATTACATAATCCCCAACTATACACTCAACGCTGTATGGAACTAAAAGGGAACTCCTAAAAACAGTATCACAAGAACTGGTCTTAGTGTAAATCAGAAAGCGAACACAAGATTATTCCTTTAGAATAGAATCAAAGAATCGAGTGACGTTAAAATCGGTAGAATACAGTGGTGAAGACTGAACCGGCCGGAATCCGTATGCAGAAGAAAAAAAAACCAAAAACTGTACCACTATTATTTGATATAGAAGTTACGATAAGCTGTCAGAATGGGTCTACGGCGGGATCCTGAAAGAGGCGGGAATTATCGTCGACAGCAGGGACTTCTGCGTCATTCATTGTACATGTATTTATCTTGACGTCTGTCAAACAATTCTGACATGTTGGTTAATTGTTAGACCTAACATTGGGCAAATGTTTTCACGCCAAGTAGGAATCGTAGTTGCATGTTTTAATCATTGATTCTCAAACTGTGTGGCGCAGAAGGGCAGCACATGTCTGTGTTGACTCTTTTAGTTCTATGCAGTTATCACAAAAGTTTGAGTTCACAAATTGTGTGTTAACAAACAACTGGGCAGTTTTAAAAATGTCTTTGGTACAGAGAGAATTGGAAACCGCTGTAGCGAATTGACTAGAGCAACGGTAATCAGCTTATGGGTCGCAATTCCTGGGAGGGGGGGGGGGGGGGTCGAACGATCCTTTCACAGTGACCGCCTAAGACCATCGGAAAACAGTTATGAAGTAATAACGAAATACTTCAGTCCCCTGTGGGATGCAATTTTTCGTTATTTGAAGCCCCACACTGGCTTTTGCTGCGGGCCCTGAATATAGCTGGGCATAAGGGGTTTCTAGGACCCCTCCACTGGTGATCCTCATCCGCATGGTGGCACTTTGTATCACCGGGTGTTTATCGCTTGTGTGATGTCCTGGTGAGATACAATAAGCAAGCAAGTAGCAACGAAAATTTTATGGTTGGGGGTCGCCACAACACGAGGAAATGTATTAAAGGATCACGGCATTGGGAAGGTTGAGAACCACTGGGCTATGGCTTTGAGGAAAGCCCTCTGAGAAGGTCTAGGGTTCAAACCTGCAACGGAATTTTTTTTTCAAAACGGACTTTGACTCACAATCGATTGAGCCCAAAATGGGTACCAGGTAATGCTCTTGGAGAGATTATTTCAGGATATAAGAGATTACACTTCACATCCATACACAGGAGTACACTTTACATTTGCAGAGAGCAATATTAATTCTTTTAAAATGCCTGAGACGTCTCTACATTGAAGTTTGGCTACAGTGTACCACTGTTATCTTTGAGATATTACCTGGCGCTGTCCCATTCTCTTCCACAGTGCGATCGCGAGTCTGATGATTTAAGACCATTTGACTAGTGCAGTCGCCACGAGCTGTGCCGGTTATAATTTAATCCATATCCACTGTGAATTGTTTGGTGCGGAAAGAATTAGGATGTAAACAAATCATGATTCAGTACAGAACATAGATTGGTTTAACTGTTAGTTATGGGCTCTCATGCAGCAGACACAGGTTCGATCCTCAGTGATATTTTGTTTGGGTGGGGGTAAAATATAACCGGCAGAGTTGGTGGCGACTACACTAACCACATGGCCTTAATTACACTCACTGTCTCCCTGTGCTAAACCGAGCTAATTTGGGTAAATACAGAAAAGACTAAAAGAATTTCACTTCCAGGTCGACCCAGCCTTGAGTGGGTACCGGGTGTAGTTCCGGGAAGTAAAGGCGACCGGCATTATGTTGACCACATCACCCATCTTGTGCCAATTGGTCTAACAAAAATATAGGTCTAGCCATATATGCCAAATACGCCTAAAGACGTGGACAAGCGACTTTAAATTTTTTTTTAAACAGAAAAGACGGTTGCTTACAGATTGCCTGGGGTTAGATTTTATTGGTCCTGGCAGACAGGAGGCAGATATGTCAGCTGAAATTTGCGAAAAGCACACAGCTCTAAGTCGGCATCTGTGGCTTAGGCGTTGCAAACGCGCTTCGTAATGCCGGGGTACCGTGTCGGGTTCGATCCCAGCTGCGGGCGATTTGGCAACAGGGCGTCTTGCCTTGGTTTCAACATTGGTGCCGAGAGCTGACCCTCCAAGAAGCAGTGGCGAACTACTGAACGCAAACTTTGCCTAGAAAAGCCACCAGTCACAAATGCAGGGGTGGGTTCTGCAACGTCCTGTAAAGATTATCTAACACAGCTCTACCGTAAATAAGCAAAACACGATTATATGAGAAAAAATATTTCAATAAGATTAGTGATAGTAATTACTAAAGTGAGGACTTTCAATTGCTGCACGCTGGTCAGATCCATAGCTGCTCTGATCTCCTCAGTAGCATAATGAAACAACTGATCTTGTCTGTTCTGTGTTGACTAATCAAAACATCTTGTAATTGGTAATGTGCCCTCTGCATTATTTCATTGCCATTTTAATCTTCTACGTTTGCTGTAGAAGGGCGGTGAGCATTAAGCCTATCACATTTACTTCTCAGGACTGTACCTGGTAATCAGTTAAAGCTGGGTTGACCTGGGAGCCATGGTATTTTTTGAAAAAAGTCTTAATCCGTCAGGACATGAACCTATGACCTTCCTTCTGATCCACAGGTGTGCATCTAGTCACAACACCCCAGCGGCCACATGTCCTGAGTGCATTGATGTTACTTTTGATTGATTCATTTATTATCGCCACTTTTATCTTATACATGTTTTATGCTTTTATTTCAGATCTTATACATGTTTTATGCTTTTATTTCAGAAGACGATGTCATGTGATTAGGTCATATGGTTATGGGAACGGGGTTGGATAGAATGCCTTCAAATAAAACAGAACACAGGCAGACAGCAAACCGGTGCCTTGAAGATGTGCACGAAGGAGAGGATGAACCTGGATTCAGACCCCCAACACCCCCAGATGGGGGCTGGGGTTGGATGGTGGTTCTTGCATCCTTTTTGTGCAATATGATTGTTGATGGTGTGTGCTTCTCTTTTGGAGTGGTCGCCAAGACATATCAGAAAGAGTTTGCAGCTTCTCATTCGATGGTTGGTTGGGTTGGGTCATCTTTGGCTGGCTGCTACTTGCTAGTAGGTAAGTGAATGCTTTTGTTACCTCATTGTTTATTGCTTCTAGGTAAGTGAATGATTCTGTTTTTGTTGACATATTATTTGTTCATTACCTGTAGGTAGGTTATTTTTTTTTTTTTTTTTTTTTGTTGAAGCCACTTTTTTTTAAACAATATTAATTCTATGAATAACAGTGTTTGTTACTGTACTTTATTGCCACTGTGCTGCACTTTGTTACTGTGCTGTTGTCACTGTGCTGTACTTTATTGTATTTTTTGCTGTGCCGATCTTAATTCCCAAGTCTGCCATTCTGGCGAGTGATGTGGATTCACTGCCACCAAAGTCCTCTATCCTTCCCATTTCTCTGAGGGCATTGATATCAGCATGATCCATAGGCTGACCGTCGGTAGTGATAGCAGATCCAGCTAACCTGTCAGCTCTTTCATTTCCATAGATGCCTGCATGTCCTGGAACAAAAATAGACTCCACGCACAGTGGACTTTATTGTTACTGTGCTGTACTTTATTGTTACTGTGCTGTACTTTATTGTTACTGTGCTGTACTTTGTTACTATGCTGTACTTTATTGTTAATGTCATGTACTTTATTGTTAATGTCATGTACTTTATTGTTACTGTGCGGTTCTTTGTTACTCTGCTGCACTTTATTGTTACTGTGCTGTATTTTGTTACTGTGCTGTACTTACTGAGGAGCATGGTGGAATGGTTAAAAATGCTGGACTGTCATGGACTGGTCCAGTTTAAAATTTTTGGCAAGGTAATTTGTTCTGTCAGGTGCAAAAATAAAATCCTAGCTTGCAGAGTCTGTGGCAGCTGCACTAGCCATGTAAGGCTAAATCCTCAAGCTCAAATACCTCCCTGACTACACTGCACGAGTGGCATATTCAAGCAATAATGAGGCAGTTTTTTGTTTGTTTGACAGATGCACCTTTCAGTTTAAGTGTGGATCTAGCAGCGAGGGATATATATGAGGAGATAAAGCAGAGTGACTGCCCTTCGAAAAGTAATATGACTGGACAATTAAAGTGATGACCGTGAATGCAACCTTGACCAGACTGTAAAACAGCAAATCAGTAGGGGTTGGATTAGCTGAGCTTCACTGAGCCAGTAAAAGTTAATAAACCAATGTGGAGCTTTTGTAATTAGCCGTTGAGTGTTGAGTGATAAACTCAGGAGGTGATTTGAGGACTTAGTAGTTCAAAATACAGCGAGGATAATCTGTCGACTAACTGGTATGAGCAGAAATGAGCGACAAGTATTCAAAATGCAGTGAGGATAATATGTTGACTAACAGTTTGTATGAGAATAAACGAGTGACAAATGTTTAAAATGCAGTGAGAATCTGTTGACCAACAGTTGTGAGAAGAAACAAGTGACAAGCTGACAACCAATGTGTCACTAGAACCTTCTGCGTCTTCATTTACGATGAGACAGAGCCTCATTAAATTTACCTGTTTTATGCTATTGTTTCTTCATTAACTGCTTCTTCTGTTTCTTCTGCATTCACCCTTAAACGGTGTTTGTCACATTATATTGTGGTTTACAGCTCGCTGTGATTGCTTTTCAACTCAACGCATCCATTTTCAGCAAACCGCCAAGTAATCGCTTTTTATGATGTGCTAGCTAAGGAGGCCGTGGGTCTGTTCATATTTTTTTAATCTGCTATAGAATGAATCACTGGAACACACATGGAGATCTTTATAAACAGAAACTGCAAATTTTTAAAATATTGTTGTCAATCTCTCCTCAGGACCTTTTGTGAGTTTCCTGTGTGTTCGCTATGGATGCCGGAAGGTGACAATGATTGGCAGTGTTGTGACAATGGCTGGGTTTATAATAAGCACACAGGCTAGCAATGTGGGAATGCTGATTTTTACGTATGGTGTCATCGGAGGTGAGAATATGAAAGTGTCAAATCTTCCTCAGTGTCCATTCTTTGTCTTCTTACGCGCAGCTGGATTGATCTTTTTCTTGTGTTCGCTTTCTGATTTACACGGACAGACAAGTTCTTATGATAAACTTGACTGTTTTTAGGAGTTCCCTTTTAGTTCCTTACACCTTTTGAGTGCAGTGTTGACTAATAGGGCCAGTATTCCTTTCTTAATGGGCTGTATAAGGAACATTCTTACAGGACATTTTCTGTAGTCTGCATACACAGCCCACATGGGGAACTACTTAGACAAAGCTTGTGCATATGCTGTTAAGTTTGTTATATTCTGTCCTTAGGTGTAGAATAATTACCTTCATCATTTTATTTATATTTGCTTTTTCTTCCCTGGTCATCCTTAAAGGTACAGTCAGCACATTGTTGTGGTTTACAGTTAAGATATGATGTCTGCATCTTTCACCCCAACACATTCACTTTCAGCAAGCCTCTAATTAGCCAGGAATTATGTCTTAGTATAGGGACTAGATGCTCGCCTGTGCATCGGAAATTCACGGGTCTGATTCTGAACAGGACCCCACTTTTCTTTCCAGAAATGACGTTAACATCCATGTTGACCCAGCCTTGAGTGGGTACCAAGTAAAGTCCTGGAAAGTGGAAGCGATATTGGCTACATCACCCACCGAGTGCCAGTTGGTCTATAAAATATAGCTCTAGCACTATATGACCAATATGGCTGAAGGCATAGAAAAAGGTCCTTTACTCTAATTTAATTAGTGGGCTTTTATGACATGCTTGTTTTTTTTAGTGGGTCTTTTTTTTGCCCCTCGAACTGAGGCCCCAGAACCTATATGAGATCTTCATTTGTATGAAATTTGTAGGTTGCTTTTTTTTTTTAATTGGTCATTCCAAAAGGCTAGTGTGCTTATTAGTGTGCAGACTGTTGGTTCCTTCCCTCTTGGGCAGATACCCTCCGAATTTGAAGGAAATGTCAATCCTGTCTCTGTTGCCTTGGCTTCCAGTGGGGAATTAGTTTCTAGGATGACCCCACTGAGAGATTTAGATAGGACTCGACTAGTATGAGCTATGGTCCAAGTCGACCATCAGTGTTTAGCACCGCTACTTCTCGAGGCTGAAATTGTACTCCATTGATTTGTGTTCACACGGGACTGTAGCCATATAAAAACAAATATGATAAAGATTGGAGCATTGATAGACAGTGGAATGAAGACGGTCATCATTTATCATGTTAAGTTGGGTTTGGTCGTGCTTGTCATACTAGATGATCACCAAAATTTCAGATGTCTGTTTTAGCGGCTCTGACACCAAGCAAGAGGAGTGGCTGGCCGAACGGTTAGAATGCTGGGCTCTTAAGTGGGAAACCTGGGTTCGAATCCTAATTCTCTTCACCTCATAAAATGTGAGTCTTACTCTTAGTCAAATTTCTCTGTAAAATATGGGGAAAGAGATTTTTGTTTTTTAATTATATCTGAAGGTTGAAGGTAAATGTTGGTTTTATTGCAAATTTATCTTTCTTTTTTTCTTAGGTATTGGTTTTGGCATGGTGTATTTGCCATCAATAGTCTGTGTCGGATACTGGTTCGACAAAAAACGGGCTTTCACTACAGGCATTGCCGTTTGCGGCACAGGAATGGGCCAATTTGCCTTTCCCCCGTTGGCCCACTACCTTCTGACGGAGTACGGTTGGGAAGGTAAAAACTTAATCATGGCAGGCATTGTGCTCCACTGTGCAGTATGTGGTATGACATTTCTCCCACTGGACCGCCAGTTCAACAAGCCGCCTCCACCTGTCAAACGCAGGGTTGAAATAGAAAGAGGTGCCATCATGAAAGCACTAATTGAACACAAAAATAGACAAAGAACAACTTCTAATGGTTCACTGGATAATTGCATCATAACAGTTGATAACCGCCTTATTAAACTAGATCAAAAACTGTTGGAATGCAAAAGAAACAATTCTTTTATTGCCAGATTTAAGCGCCAGCTTGGATTTAGTTCACAAAGTCTGGCATCTTCAAAAACTAGCATTCAGGGAATTCCCAGTATTGTTATTGATGCTGTTCAGAAAGACTTGAACAAAACAGCAGTGGCAGCATCAACTCCTATTTATAGACCAAATGGCATCAGAGTACCAGAAGATCTTTCACAGTCACAGCTTGTTTCAAAACGGGCTTCTCTTCCCGACGGCAGTGTCTTAACATCATCGTCTCCCCTACCTAATGGGACAGTTCCGGCTGCAAATGGTGGAGTGAAAGAAAATGGTGTAGCAAAAACACAAAGCTGTGAAGTGATTCCGAGTGAAGAGAATTTATGGATTGGTCAGTCACAAGACGAAGGTTTAACCTTCAAAGTTAAACAGGTCGGCAGCCTTCCATCTGTGAGTCACTCCGCGAGCAATCTGGAGACACTGTCCTTTTCTCCGTCTGCTGATGGGAGTGTAATTAGCATTCAGGTAATTGAAAGTGCTGCCCCTGACACAATGAACAGTACCACAAGTGTGAGGTAAGCAATAGTTGTAGCTTAATGCTTTCGTTCCTCATGTTAGTGTGCCTCTTTTGCTTTTCTTGCCTTCCTTTTACTTGTTGCCACACAGTATGTTAATTTCCTTTGCCACACAGTATGTTAATTTCCTTTGCCACACAGTATGTTAATTTCCTTTGCCACACAGAATGTTAATTTCCTTTGCCACACAGTATGTTAATTTCCTGCAAGAAATCTTGTTACTACAGGATGTTATGTGTTGCTAGAGAATATCTTATGTTTTTCTGTGACATTTTATGTTGCTGCTTTATTCAAGGGATGTCGCTATGGGATATCTTATGTCACTGTGGAATATGTCGTTTCTTTGGGATATCTGTTGCAGTTGCTATGGGATATCTCAGTTGCTATGGGATATCTCAGTTGCTATGGGATATCTCAGTTGCTATGGGATATCTGTTGCTATGGGATGATATCTTGCCAGTTTGTCTTGATTTTCTTATGGATGACTAAAAAAACTAAGATAATTCAAGAAGTTGTCAGCAGTAAGCATGTTCACATAGATCTTTCAGCTGTTTCCCAGGTCCCACAAGGGAAGAAAAAATAGTAACACTGTAAGCTACCTTGCATGTCATAAGATGCAACTAAAGAAGGTTGGCACAAGACGGCAACCTCACCCTTTAGAAAACTTTAATTTGCAAAGGCCAGACAATAATAAACTGATGTCAAACTTGTAGAGAGCTGTTCAAATTGCAGCAAATCTTGAAGTAAGACTCTTGACACCGGGTCTGACACACACTGAGAAAACTTAACTCTTTAAGCGCCAAAGTAGCATGGGTAGATATTAGTGTCAACCTTTTTTTTTTCTTGCTGCGTTCATCCAAAGATATAAATTGTGTTGTGCCCATCTACAACATGCTGCAATATTTTTGCCTTTCGGCTGACACATGTGAAATGCCTGTTGTCCGGGTTAGCCTTCTGTGTCAACCTGTAAAGATCTTATGTAGGTTTGTAGTCAGGGCAACAGGTTCATCTCTTAGTTTTGTTGTACATTTAGTCCCTGTGGGTATAGTAAACCTATGATTTTGTTGTCATTATTGTCACAAGAGGTATCGGCTATGATCTCCTGGGACTGAAAGAGGTAACAGTATAATTGGAAAATACTTTTTGAGGAACCCACATGACAAAATAAATAGGTTGTCTATAAAGAATTATTGTCATGTTACGGAGCGTAGTCTGTAAGCTTGATGTCATCAGAAAATTAAGGAAGAGTAAGTGGCGAGAAGAAATTAAAATGGGGGCAGAAGGAGACATAGAAATAGGCGGGTTGGAGCCAGGCGAGTCGGAGGAAAAGCAGTGCACCTGGCACTCGGTATGTATGTATGTATGGAGTTAGCTACTGGTACCGTCAGAGTTGTAACTTTTCACAGGCTGCTGAAGATGAGGAAAGAGTATCGGAATGTCCCGAGTGCTATGTGGATTCTTGGCTCCGCTCAGTTCAGTCTGAATTGAAAATAGTACATACATCTATATTATGGAAAATTGGGTGGGGTCCTTCAGCCTCAGGATTTAGGGCTGCATTGCTAGTGCAGTTGCCACAAACTGTGCATGCTAGGATGCTTATTTTTGCCCCTGACAGAAGAAACTTCCAGCATCTTAACCAAGAATTTGAACCTAGGTCTCTTGCAAGAGATCCACTGAGCTAGCTTCTCAAAGAAAACATCTTCATCAAAGGCCTTGCCGTCTGGCATGGGGGATCATGCCTCACCATAATGTGTGATCTGCAGCTGTGTGTTATCAATTCATGTCTGGACACCACTCCGTGCTATTACATTAGGTTTCAAAAATCTTCTTGTTTTCCTGTTTTTCTTAAGATCTTTCTTTTGATCAGAGCATTCGCTTGTTTCCTTTTTCTCATAACATGATCAAAAATGACCCATTTTTTTTACTCATGCTTGTGATAAGTTGTCTTCAAACCCTCTCCTCTTTCAAGACATATGGGTTGTACTTTCAGGCTGCTTCAGAAATTTTAAGGATACTTATGTAAAACCACATCTCTGAGGCCTCAAGAAGTTGTTTGGTTTGTTTGTTAGTTGTCCAGGATTCACATTTGTTTGTTAAAACTGTCTGTATATAGCATGCGAGAATTCTTTTCCTAACCTCTAATGGCATGTATTTATTGCATAAAATGTTCATTTTAAATGATTTACTGGAGAAAATGATTTTCCCTGGCTATCCATTATGTTTATGGAAAACATCACCTAGGCCATTTTGCAGCCAGTCTGTCTGTAATGTGTGGAATCATAAAGCTGCTATGTTTCCCCAAAAATAAGACCGAACCCAGAAATAAGCCAAGAATGATTTGTCAAGATGTTCATTTTATGAACCCTACCCCAAATGTAAATGAACCTTAGTTAAGATCATCAATCAGAAGACAGTCATGTGGCTGTATTAGAATAATTATAGATTTTTGTTTGAAAAAAATGTAAAAAATTTTGTATTTGAATAAATGTAAATTTCTGTATTTGTATATTTCTGTACAAAAAAGAACATCCCCTGAAAGTAAGCCCCAGTCTTATTTTTGGGGATACTCTGTAGTATTTTAATAACATGTTGAAAAGATATCTGACTTCCTACTGATAGATGCAAGCCATTTTTAAGGAATAGCCAACCTGAATGTCGAACTCCAAGAATTAAAAAGTTTTCCCAGGAGATTTAAATATTCACATAACGGGGAGCTGCGAAAGCACTGGGGCAGATATTTGCCTGCCTGTCTTTGGTTCGGATCTGTATTGAAGCAATTTAAAAAAAAAAAAATAGAATGACCTTGGCCCCCACCTTGACTCAACCTCCTACCTAATATATGTCTATTAGGAAATCTTTTGCTTCTTAGCTTTCACCAGCTGTAACTGTCAGAAAGTTTGTTCTTCCACTTCTGGATTTGTCTTGTTTCGGAACTTGGGTTTTGTATTTTTGAGTATTACAAATCTGGCTTCTTGTATACAGACTGTTGGTTCCTTACCTTTCAGGTAGATGCGCTCTGACTTTGAAGAAAAAAAAGTTAGTTGCATATCCTTTACAAGACATTGCAAAACTAACCCCAACATTTGTTGGCTGTTGTGGTTTTTCTAAGCAAATTTACGTCCAGTAGTTTGCCATTGCTACTGAATGGTCGGCTTTTTGATACCACTGCCGAAACCAATGCAATGTGCAAGGCCTGCAGCTGGGATCGGACCCGGCACCCGATGCTGCAACGCTTAAGCCACAGACGCTGACCTTTGTAGGAAACACCTCTAATTAGTGGACTTTTACGACATGCATGTGGGGGAGGGGGGGGGGGGGGGGGGTTGGCAATGTCTTCTCTTTCCTCCCTCACAGTGGGACCCTGGAACCCACACAAAGAACTAGGAAATATCCTGAGAAGTAAAGGGACCATCGTGATGTTGATCGTGTCACCCATTGAGTGCAAATGGATCTATGAAAATATGTGCCCAATATGTCGGTGACATTAAAGGGTTCTGTACTAAAGTGGAGGCCACAAGTTTAGGACTGCCTAGTAATTTCTCTACTTTCTGTGGGGGAAGAGGGGGGGCCTGGTGACCACAGTAATTGCCTTGTATATGCCTTAAGAAAGGAGTAGATGCAATACTCCATAACGATATAAAAAATTCAATTGACTTTGTGGTCTTACCCTTTGGGTCACAAGTGTATATATACACATAACTGTAGCCGCAAATAATGAGATTCTGTATGCAGTAAATGTTCTGCCCACAGATACAGATCTGGTCACTCAGTTTCCAGTGTCTACTCCAGCCGGATGACATCGTCAAAGACTTCCTACGTCACAGGCAGTGTTCTGAGTGTTCCGCAATCTAGTGTGTATGACGACGACCTGGAGTATGATCTCGACCGTCACATGTCACTGGCATCAAAGTGCTGGCAGATCTTGTGTGACATGTTTGATATCAGGCTGATGTTGAGCCCGGTCTTTGCTCTGTTGGTTTTGTCTTCGTTTGTCACTTTGCTGGGTAAGTTTTCTTTTTCTCACCTTATTGGGTATGTTTTGTTGTTTTTTTTTGTCTTTCTGGATGCATTTGGGAGGGGGGGGGGGGTGGGGGGATGTTTCTGGGTACAATGTTTTTAACTTTCTGGGTACAATGTTTTTGTAACTTTCTGGGTACAATGTTTTTGTAACTTTCTGGGTACAATGTTTTTGTAACTTTCTGGGTACAATGTTTTTGTAACTTTCTGGGTACAATGTTTTTGCAACTTTCTGGGTATGTTGTATTTGAACTTTCTGTGTGCATGTTTTTTTTTTTTGTAACTTTCTGGGTATGATGTATGTTTTGTAACTCTGAATATTGTATGTTGTTGTTGTATTTTTCTGGGTTTGTCGTATATTATTGTAACTTTCTGGGTATGATTTTTGTTTTTGTAACTTTCTGTGTGTTTGCCGTTTTTGTAATTTTCTGGCTGTTGTGTTTGCTGTTTATTATTTAAGAATGTTGTTTTGTCTGTGCTACTTTCTGGGTGTCTGGGGAGAGACCAAGCTATTTAGGATTCAACCTGGTGCAATGAAGTTGATCTTCTGGATTCCAGCCTTCAACTTTTACATCTTCCATGTCCTTCCCTTGTTATATTCATACATGTCTCCAGCTGTCTTCTTCATGTATTTTAGGACTTATTTCAACTGGCTGGCTCTGCACAACTTGGTGGAATACTGATACATGATAGGGCAGATGTGGTTAGTGCCTTGTGGTAGAGCATGTACAATTCGGAGGAGCAGATGCATCACTGCAGTCTGGTGAGATTGATGCAGTTGGGGGTGACGAGAGGTTCTGGCAGAGGCTCAGAGGAAACTCAAGACAGACGTTTAATCAAAATGCTACCGACACCATTATTATCGGAACTCTTAGCTGGCTGGTGAAGATGGGGATGGAGTGCTTTTGGAAATGCCATAAGCTTGTCGAAACCAATGCAAGGCGTAAGGCCCGCAGCTTGGATTGAACCCATTACACCCGGCATCATGTTTTTCATGCTTTAGATAATAGCTATCTAACTTGTGAAGATTATTGCAAGCCAATTATCTGACTGAACATTATTGCAAACCAAATGTCTGAATTATGAACATTATTGTAAGCCAGATGTCTTAATTATGAACATTATTGCAAGCCAAATATAATTTTGTCAATATAATTTTTTTCAGCCTTCTACGTTCCATTCTTCTACTTTCCCGAAAAAGGAGTATTAGTCGGAATGTCAGAAAGCTCAGCAACCTTCCTGCTATCCATCGTGGGAATCACCAACACCATCGGCAGGCTGTTGTGTGGTTGGCTAGCGGACAGGCCCTGGGTGAACACCCTCCACCTCAACAATTCTGCCCTGATTTTGGCTGGCATTGCTTTATTGTTTTGTCCTCTGTGTAAAAGTGAAGAACCTCTGGCGGCCCTGGCTGCTATTTTTGGTCTTTGTGTGGGTAAGTTAATTGTGATCTTCATGCAGATAAGTTCATATTCGTGGAAAGTGTAGATATAGTGTTTGTTGGTGATCTCAGTTGCACTTTTAACTCACTCTGTGGTTATTTTAAAATAATTGTAACATATTGTTACTTTAAACAACCTTTATTGTTACTTTAATTTCCTCAGCTGAAGGTGTACAGTGCTTGCAGTGCTTCTGTAAGGCTGTGAAAATTGTTTACAGATGTCATGCAAAGAACCTCAACCACTTCCATGTAATCTCTAAGAAAAATAGTGAAATTCAAAGTGGCCGTGGAAATCAAAGTGGCCAGAGTCCTTAGTCTTTCCTCTTGTGTTGAGTGAGGCACATAGGGCAGAGGTCATGACTCTCCATGCATGGCGGTTCGTTGCAATCTGTTGTAGGTCTTGAATGTTTGAGTGGCCCATGAGCGAGCTTTCCCTGATGATAGTTCTATGTAGGGTTTCCCGTGGTCTTCCACGAGATCTTTTCCCCTGTGGTGTCCAAATGAGGGAAGAGTCCTGGATACTGGTATTTGATAGAGCTGGCATTCCCAGCATCAATACCACCTTGATACAGTTGCAGATTCAATGGGCAGATTACGTCATTCACTTGCCAGACCATCGTCCAAAAGTAATCTAGTGTGGTGATACAGGAAGGTAAACGCTCTCATGGTGGCCAGAAAAATATGCTCCAAGGATACGCTAAAAATATCGCTTTATGCCTTCAGTATAACCCTGATACTTGGAAGGCTGCTGCACAAGATCACACTACATGCTGAACGTCTATCCAGAGAGGGGCAGTGACTTGCAAGGCATCTAGAAAAAAGGACAGATGAACAGAGTTGGCAGGCAAGAAAGATCTGTAAAACAGATTCTTTACCTACAGATGCCCATATTGTCCTAGATCCTTCCAGGCCCCTGTTGGGCTCATAAGCCACCTCCGGACTGACAATCAACTATGGTTTCATGACGGATTAGAGTGATCCTCATCACTAGTGATTAATAAACTACAATCCGTGTAGTTAACTTTATCCTACTCTATATCTCTAATCCAGCCTGATGCAGTGGCACACTGCAGAACTACTGTTACTCTAATCATGTCTATAGTGAGTAAAGGACCCTTTTCCAAACCTTTTAGGTGTATTTGGAATATATGGCTAGAATTTTTAGACCAACTGGCACTTGGTGGGTGATGTGGTCAGCATTACGCCAGCTGCCTTTACTTCCCAGGACTGCACCTGGTTCCCACTTGGTGGGTGATGTGGTCAGCATCACGCCGGCCGCCTTTACTTCCCAGGACTGTACCTGGTTCCCACTTGGTGGGTGATGTGGTCAGCATCACGCCGGCCGCCTTTACTTCCCAGGACTGCACCTGGTTCCCACTTGGCGGGTGATGTGGTCAGCATCACGCCGGCCGCCTTTACTTCCCAGGACTGCACCTGGTTCCCACTTGGCGGGGGATGTGGTCAGCATCACGCCGGCCGCCTTTACTTCCCAGGACTGCACCTGGTTCCCACTTGGCGGGGGATGTGGTCAGCATCACGCCGGCCGCCTTTACTTCTCAGGACTTCACCTGGTTCCCACTCAAACTGGCAGTTAGGGTCATTTTTGATAAAAGTCCGGCTCCGTTAGGACACGAACCCACAACCTTCAGATCTGCAGGCGGGGTAACCATGTCTCTTGTACCTGATTTTATTCATTTCTATGTAAGTTGTTTCTTTGATCCACTTTTTATCTTATTTAGCCCAGTCTATTTTTTTTTTTTTTGTTTGTTTGTCAAACATCTGGAAGTCAAAGACATTCAGCAAACACAACTTATTTTCAACTGTTGTGTGATTCCAGTGCTAACTTATGGATGTGGGGTTGGAAAGCAACAGTAGCTCTAGATAAACAATTGGACAATTTTGAGAACACATGTCTTAGAAGAATACTGAATCTCCTCTGGACAGATTTCAGATCCAATTCACAAATGACAAGAGACCAAGCAAGATAATTTATCAAATTTAAAAAAAAAAAATGCAGCTGCAACTACATTGGCCAGGCATCCAGAATGGATAAGACAAGACTCCCCCATCCAGGCATCCAGAATGGATAAGACAAGACTCCCCCATCAAGCCCTGATATGGACACCTGAGGGGGGGGGGGGGGGGAGGGAAGACCAGGAGAGACCCTGTGTAGAACTATCAAGGAAGGCTCAGCTATAGGCCAACTGAACATCCAAGATCTAAAACTGGTGGCAACAAACCGCCAGGCACGGAGAGCTATGGCTGCTGCCCTATGCGATGCCTTAGGAACTTTCACCTAGTTGTTTCAGATTTTTACTACAGCCTATATGACTAAAATGAAGTAAAAACTTATCAAGTGCTTTGCCAGCTGGCATGGGCGATCATGCATCTCCTCAGCTGCAGTCTCTAACAGCATGCATCAGCTCAAATGCTGACAAAAGGCTGTAAAGAATCTTATGTTGTCTTTCTGTGTCTCTTTTACAGCATGTTCCACTTCTCATGACATGGCCAAATTATGACGGCTGCTTTATTCTTGTATTTGTGATAGTCTCCAAACCCTCACTTCTTTCAAAACATCTAGTAAGTTGTCTCCAGACCCTCACTTCTTTCAAAACATCTAGTAAGTTGTCTCCAAAGCTTCATTTCTTTCAAAACATCTAGTAAGTTGTCTTCAGACTCTCACTTCTTTCAAAACATCTAGTTAGTTGTCTCCAGACTCTCACTTCTTTCAAAACATCTAGTAAGTTGTCTCCAAACCTTCATTTCTTTCAAAACATCTAGTAAGTTGTCTCCAAACCCTCACTTCTTTCAAAACATCTAGTAAGTTGTCTCCAAAAACCCTCATTTCTTTCAAAACATCTAGTAAGTTGTCTCCAGACTCTTTCTTTCAAAACATCTAGTAAGTTGTCTCCAGACTCTCACTTCTTTCAAAACATCTAGTAAGTTGTCTCCAGACTCTCACTTCTTTCAAAACATCTAGTAAGTTGTCTCCAGACTCTCACTTCTTTCAAAACATCTAGTAAGTTGTCTCCAGACTCTCACTTCTTTCAAAACATCTAGTAAGTTGTCTCCAGACTCTCACTTCTTTCAAACCATCTAGTAAGTTGTCTCCAGACTCTCACTTCTTTCAAAACATCTAGTAAGTTGTCTCCAAACCCTCACTTCTTTGAAACCATCTAGGTTACTCATTCTGATTGTCCAAGAAATTGTAAGCATTCTTCTATAAAACCACACCTCAAGAAATTTCTTGACTTGCTTATTAATTGTACAGGATTCAAAAGCATATTTATTTAAAACTGGCTCTGTTTGGCATGCAGGAATTATTTTTCTAACTTTCCGTGATAAGAATTTCTACATTTTACAGTAAAAACTTACATCAGAAACACAAACAGCTCATATGTTACCGATTTTTCTACATACATCTGTTTATCCTCAGCTGTGTATGTGTCCTTGAGGTCCATCCTGCTAGTGGATCTTCTGGGTCTGGAGATGTTGACCAAGTCTTTTGGTTTGCTCATCTTGTTCCAAGGAGTGGCAGCTTTTATTGGTGCCCCAATTGCTGGTGAGTACAAGAGTTGCCTGCCATCGACTATAGTTTTTTAATGATTTTGACCGGTACCATCAGTGTTGGAACTCTCCGCTAGCTGCTGAAGACGGAGCACACATGGGAATGCCCTAAGTGCTGTGATGTCATTTCTTAACTCAACTATAGTTTGTGCTTGAAGGGAAGCCTCCTTGGATGGCAAAGAATTACCATGTTTCCCCGTCTTTTTTGTAAAACTGGTTAGTGAGGACTCTGGCATAGCGCTGACAATCTGACCTGATCAAACAAAACCAAACACAAACAAGAAAAGGTATTGATTTGCCACACTGGAATGGAATGTTGTATTATTCAGTTACCAACAGTTATGCTTATATAATAGAAAAGAAAATATTTTATTCCTGTCAGCCATTTGAGACAGTAAAGCTGACTTCAGTATTCCCCTGGGTGGGTTCCGGGCCTGGGTGGGTTCCGGGGGCCCCATTTTAGGCTGGACAAATAATAGACCAACTGCCTCCTCACAAGCATGTTCTGAAAGGCATCTAATTAGGTGTTTGCTAAAATCAGATAAGTTGGATTTTAATGTGCAGATTTTGCAGCTGTAAACCACAACAGTGTGCTAACCATCTTTTTAAAGATTAGCGCAGAAAAAGAAGCCTTCATTATTATCATCACTCCCTACATGGGTTCTGGAGCCCTATTGTGCCGAAAACAAGAATGGAACCACTGCTTACCCAAAAGCATGTCATAAGAGTCGACTAACTGGGAGCTTCCTTTTAAGTTGGAGCACATCTGCCTTGAAGGCAAGGAACCAAGTCTGCATGCAGATTAGTCAGATCTGTGAAACTGATGTGCATCCAACACTTAGTTTCTGGAACAGGACTAAAGTCCAGAAGTGGACAGGCAACCAGAACCTTCTGCCGGAGTTTACAGCTAATGAACGTGAAGAAGAAAGATTATCATCATATCAAGACTTTCTTAAAACAAGTCAGGGTTGTAATAAAGAACCCATTTCTATTTGCAGGTCGCCTCAGAGATACAACCGGTGATCTTAATAATTGTTTTTACTTCGCTGGCATCTTGACCCTTTGCTCTGGGGTTTTAATGTTACCGATCTCCCGACTTCACAGAAGAGCGCAGCAAAACAAGAAGTTATCTTCAGCTACGAGCAACGACAACACAGTCACCGAAACATTGAAACTGGACACACCTGAAACCCGAATCTGAACAGGTGTACAGTATTAGGTCGTCATGATTGTATTGTTTCTATTTTATTGCAAATCTCATCCATTTTTTTATGTTGCGATTCCTGTTTTTATACTCAACAAAATACATGGAAACATCATGTTCTCAGATGTATGCATCATAAAGTGGTTGCTTGTTATATACACATTCAGAATTTGGGGAAGTTTGACCTGAAAATAATTGTTCCATATTTTGAGAAAATTATTCCATGTTTTATCAAAATTAAAAACAAATCAAAGTGATTGATTCCCAGATATAATCGGCTGTAGCCCCACCCTAATTTTTTTTGCTCCTTTCTCCCCGACCCAGTGACCTATTGCTTTCTAGGCCACATATCTAGTATAATTACACACGCACACACCACACAACCTACAGCTGCTGTAGGACAGTGGCTGGACACTTTCTTCTTGGGTTTTTCTTGTTAGCATTAGTTTGTCCACTTCTGCACTTTGATCTTCTTCCAGAATTTGAATTTTGCGTGCACTTTTGTTGTACAGATCTGGATTACTTATATGCAGACTGTTGGTACCTCGCCTCAAACAAGTGCACTGTGACTTTGAAATAAAAACTCAAAAATAGTCATCTTTGTCAGGGTAATGTCAGCATCTGTGGTTTAGGGGTTGTAATTGCGATTTGTAGCTCCGAGATAACCGGTTCAATTCCAGCTGCAGCTGATAAAGCAACAAGTGGCTTTGCATTTATTTGAACAATGGTATCAAGAGCCGACATTCAAAAAGCAGTGGCAAACTACTGAACTGAAAATTGTCTAGTACAGTGTTTCCCAAACTTGTCTTAGTCGCAGCACCTTTTTTTAGTTAAATTTTTCCACGGCGCCCAAACCTAAGTAAAAAGTATGACTGTCAGAATGCTTGCTGTCCTGTTGAGACCGCAGTTGATATATACCCGTTGCATAGTCACCATTTTTGTCTTGTCCCTGTCCTTGAAAATTTGGTAAAGTGCAGCAGGAGAAGATCAAGGCCTGGGAGTCATGACCCAGGTTGGCTCACCCTCCCAAGTTGTCTGAGGTTATGGGCCAAAACAATTGTCGACGAAGGATCTTCTACTAATGATTGGTAGACTCCTGCTGTACATGCTTCCCTGTGAAGTTATTATATTACAGTAAACTCCATTGATAGTCATTATGAATATATCCATTGACAGACATCACAGGATACATCCATTGATAGATATCTTAGTGGATGCCGCTGTTTATAGTCTGTGGATGTGTCCATTGTTAGATCAGTAGATACATCCATTGATTTATATTCTAGTGGACTTATCCATTGATATATATTCTCATGGATGCATGTACTGATCAATATCCCAGCATTAGTGATAAACTGTCAGTGTAAGTTTCTCGTTCATTTTATTTCATGTCTCTTTATTCAGTTTGATATACAGTCTAAGTGTGTCTGCTAGGTTTACATTTTTTTAAATTTCCAGATTAGATTTTTTTTTTTAAATAGAATGGAATACTTTAAATAGCCTTTTACTTGATAGATGAATATTTTTTTTCTTTTTTGAAGCTGTATATTTTTTCACTTTAATTCAACAAATTGATAAATTGTTTAGTTGTCACAAAGATTTATGTTCATTGTAGCAAATTTAAATGTCTTAGTTTATTCTAATAGATTTGTGCTCTGAATCATAGACCCCCCCCCCCCCCCCCCCCCCCCCAGATGGCAGATATTTGTCTAGTTTCTCAAGATAGGTATACCTTTGTGGGGTGCAATTTTTTATTTGAAGCCCTGGCTTTTGCCGGGGTCTGAAATATAGTTGGGCCACAATTGTGGCCATAACGGCTGAAAAGGGTTTCTGGTACCTCTCCACAGGTGATCCTCATCTGCATGGTGGGACTTTTGTGTCACCTGGTGTTTATCGCTTGTGTGATGTCCTGGTGGGGTACAACAAGCAAGCAAGTTAAAGATAGTATTATTGCAGGTTGCTTAGAGATTTGGACAGAAGTAAGATCAAAGAACAAATTGCTAATGTTGTTAGTGTTTGTTGGTTGGTTAGTATAGGTTGATTATTGGTTGATTGGTTAGTTAATTTTGATTGATTGGTGAGTTTATATTGGTTGTTTGTTTGAATCTCTTCTAGGAAGATTGTTTTGCCATTCACATTGTCTGAGCTTAAGAATATTCAGAAATCTGTCAAATGTTGAAAACTGGAATCAAAGCAACATGTCTGCAGAGAAACTGGTTTTTAAATTTCATAGTTCTCGAGAACTGAGGTTTAATTTTAATGGCAGGCAGTTTGTTTTTTTCAAATAGTTGTGGTTTTTTAATGATGGTATGAGAGTGTGTTGAAGAGCTTGGGGCCTCACCACATAGTATTCCCAAAGAGTGGGCACTGTAGCCATTTTTCATTGTAAGTTTGTACAGGATGTACAGATAACTTATTTAAATGGGAAATTGTCAGAATATGCTTGTTTCATCATAAAGGTGATGGCCTCTTGGATTTAGTAGCTTCTGATCCATCTTGCCTGTAGCCTTGTACATTTGTTAGTTGTCTGGTGTTTCTTCTTTGTCCTTTATAAAAACCAGTCAATATGCACTTCATCTTCTCATGAGAATAGTGGTTGGGGGGGGGGGGTGCCTTGGTTTTGCCTGGTGGCAAGGTACTTGATGAATATCCAGTAATTTTATGTGAAAGAAATGTGAAAATAGAAACATGGTGTTTAAAAAATTAATATAAGTATTGTGAAGCTGCACGGTTTTGATAGGTGTGGTTTTTATCTACATGACAGAAATTAAGTCAACAGTTTGGCTTGTAAGATTTGGCTTTGTAATCTTTTCCATATCATGGATGGAGTCCGGTTCAGTACCTTTAGTCTCTTTTATGAAAATTCACCTTTGGGTTTCTCTTTCATGTTCTAATTTCCTCCGTACATTTATTTCCCATTCCAGTGCTTGTTTAGTGATTCTGTCTACTTCTCTGGATGTGCCCAATATATTGCCATCTTCTTGGTCTTTAAACTGTTTATACCTGTGATTGCCCAGACATTTCTATTTCTGCTTGAATTCGTCCTATTTCATGTTCATCAGTTTCCCCAGGCACCTGTTTTTGAATGCATTCAACTTTTGTTCCATATCTTGAGAGGTTCTCCAACTGTGACTGGCTTATATTGAGACTGACATAACCTTAGAGTTGAAAATACATTACTTGGTTTTAAAACATTAATTTAGTGTTTAATATTTTGTTCAGAACTTTTAAAATCTGCTGTTGCCTTGCCGGTGCCTTGCCGGTGCCTATCATAATTTCTCACTTTTTGTTTCGTGGGCAATCTGAAATGCTGCCTGTTTTGTTAGGTGTTTCAACCAAACAAAACAAAAACAAAGCAATTCTACACTGGCTTGCCTACAAAGAAAAAAAAAAACAAAAAAAATCTGAAATTTAATTTCAAATATAATTACTTTTGTCACAAGAGTACCTTCATGTCCTCGAGTCTCCTCTGACACAAAGTTCATCGTTTTGGCAAGGACAGAGATTAATGAATATCACAGAATCATGAATACTATAAATATATAGTCAGTCTTCATGTGGTTTTAGGGCTCTATTTTATTTTTAAAAATAGACCCACTCCCCCCCCCCCCCCCCCCCCCATCTCCACCCCACTACAAGCACGTCATTAAAGGTGACAAATTAGAGGTGTTGCCTTTGAAGACGTAGTTCACCTGCCTGAGGCGAGGAACCAGCAGTCTGCATACAGATGAGCGACATCTCTAAAATGGAAATGCATGCAAAATGCAAGTTCTGAAACAAAACAAAATTTCAGAAGTGGACAAACAACCAGAACTTGTCGAAATTTACAGCTGGTGACTGCAAAGATTTAGTGGGTAATTTTGTTTCTGCTTTTGAAATGATCCTTGTTTGGTGACCTACTGGACGTGCACTTCATTTGGGTTTTAAAGATTATTTGACTGGGCTATTTCTAGTTTTTCACCTTTATCTGAGTTGACTAGACACGTCATTTCCTACCTGAGTGTAAAAGTCCCCACCAGCCACACTGTAAATTATACATCTTTTTAGGGTTGAAAGTGAACTGGATTTCCTAAGCTCCAAGTTTGGCCTGTTTTTTTTTTTAGCAGCCAAATATCAGCCATAACATAACACAGAATGAAAATGTAATAATTTTGAACCGGTTTCTTCTGTATTAACTGGTTTTGAACTCTGTGAAAAGCTCTGGTTGGTTGTCTGTGTCTGGACTGTGTCCTTGTTCCGTGGCTCAGATGTTGCCGCCCCATCCATTTCCCAGATCTGTGTATTGGTTCCTGAGCTCTCAGGAAGGTACACTCAGAACTTCGAAGTAAATGATCCTATCTACATTGGCCAGGCCCCTGGTAGGAAACCTGTTGTTCAAATGACTATCTAGATAGGACTTGACCAGTATGAGATCTGCTTTTGGTGCACCACCTCATGTGGTGATGCAGCTGGGCACCCCATCAGATCAGTTGAAGCTGTTGGCGAGAATGAGACTATCATTTCAAAGTGCGCTTTGTGGTGAAGTGGTCATGCCATTTGCCTCGCGCTCTGAAGGTTGTGGGTTCTTTTTATGACTCCATCATTCAGTTCATGAGTAAAATTGCTCCGGAGATCCCTGGGGTGCTGGAGCTAGAGTACATTCTTTATGTGATGCGTTCGGCAGGCGGCTAGCCGTTCTGCCAAGAGAGACTGAGCCATAAGGGATAAAATCTGGCATGGTGAAGTCGGTCCTCTCACCTTTAACCTTTAAGTATGCTTTGTTACATGTGGAAGAAAATGGTGGGGGATTGTTCATAATTTAAACTTTGATAATTTCACTTCATATTAGTGGGAGCTGCTGTGATGTTAGCGGTTAGACACTCGCCTGCCTATCAGAAAGCCATCCACAGGTTTAGGTCCTGATGGAGGCGGGCTTGTTCCAGAAATGACCTCGACTCCTAGGTCAACCCAGCCTTAAGTGGGTACCAAGTATTGTCCTGGGAAGTAAAGGCGGCTGA